CCTAATCTTTCCTGAGTGAGTGGTTGTCAGGTACTCCTGTCCAAACACAAGGCAGTTGGTACTTAACTGTAAGCTCCCACACTTGTCAAATGATCTCCAAAGACTATGAAATTGCTTGTCATCTTTGTCAAAATTACATATGGGTGAGATATTGGCTATCTGTGTTGTCATTAAAAACTCAATTAAAAGAAATTCTAAAATCATTATCAACTTTTTCAGACGTGAGTTGTCCTACCAAAAGCAAACTGTTTATAGCTTAGGCTTTTCCCAGCATTCAAAAGATGACAGAATTCCAGAATAGGCCTAAGGAAAGGATGAGATCTGGACCAAGGTGGCAGCATCCTACGGAGGACAAAAGCAAGACGCAGACAGTGATGTTACCTGTCAGGTAGCAATTCCTCTCTTCCCAGCATTAGTGTGTGTAACTGCAATTCTCTAATTAGATTGTATCATTTCATTAACATTGAGGACCACTGTCCCTAATGAGTCTTTTCAAAATGAGCAAACAGGAGGTAGCTTATCATTATGGCTCTCATTCTCACTGTGCCTATCTACTAGATGAATATTATTGGAAAAAATTAATTGCATTACAGTGGGTGCCACTGAATGTAAGCACATTGGGTCCTAAGGAAATGATTACCCTGAGAGGCCGATCGCATTAACTGAGTGCAGAGACTAGGTATCAGTGATGAGAGCAAAGCAAGTATGTGTGCGTATCTGAAAAGGAAGCTCACCGTTTTACAGCCAGATAGCTGAGGCTGGATGAGGAAGCCGCCTCTGCCTGGAGACAGTTAAACCAGGCAGTTTCTTCAATCAGAGCATAAATTATTAATAGTAATAAATTCAACAGCAGCCTCCATTTATTGAGAACTTACTATGAACCAGCAATAGCACAATAGCTAAGCCCTTCAAATGCATGCTCACACTTAATCCCCACAACAGCTCTAGGAGACACGTGTCACAGTTTGTAAGTGGTAATCAGGAAGCAAATCAGTTTGACGCTAAGCCAGCACCCTAACCATAAAGTTGTACCTTTTAGATACAGACTCGATAGGGATCAGCACCTCTAGGTTATTTTTATTATTAGCCCAGCCATCCTATCGGCCTGGGCACAGCCAGTACATCTGGGATTAAGGCATCTGGATATGACACTGAGCCCAAGGAGCTCCTGTGGGTATTTTCCCCTTCCATCCATTTGGAGATTGTTTGGACATAATGGAAAACACCATTTTTTAAAGAAAAAAATGGGTTAAATTTTGCTTTTATGATTATAACACAAATAGCAGTAAAGCCTGATTTTTAAAAGAAGCACCCATTCAAATTTTCCTTTCTATTAAGGCAGAAGGGGTAAACATTACCCCTAACCTGTAGCTTACAACTTCTAAGGAATGGAGGTAATACATCCTGGAATGTGCCATGTCAGGAGAGGAAGCACTTTTCTTTACAGAGCTGCCTGTGGTATACCTGCTCTGGGGGCAGCTCAGAAATCTTCACTGGCCCAGTTACGATTTCCAACCATGTGATTTTCACACCTTGTGCTTCACTTTCTAACAAACTGAAGATGTATAACTAGAGAAGAGGGTGCACATTGATGGAGAGCGGGAAGGAAGGCTGACTAGTGGGCGGGGTGGGGTCAGCCATGGCGAGGCCCCTGGTAGCCAGAGTGTCCATCTAAAGGGCAGGTGCTTCTGGGAAAGTTGGCATGCTTGACTGGGTATCAAATATTTAGATCTTTGAATGGAGCAGTTTATAATACACTTGAATGCAGGCAATCAATGGATATTTTAAAGGAAGATGTGTGTGTGTGTGTGTGTGTGTGTGTTGGCATGGGGGTGGGAGGGAAATCCAGCACTGCTGGAGAAAAGCTTCTCCATGGAGGTGGGAGAGGAGCAGCATTGATGGGGAAGCTTTAATGGCTGGTGGGAGAGCAACCCTGAAAAGGATGAGGAAGGATCTCTGGAGATCATTGTGTTTGGCCTTTAGAGGAATGAGTAAATGCTGGTGACCTTCGTCCTGAAGCAGTGAAGCGTGATCGACCCCCCCACCTCCACCCCCCATCACCCACTCTCTTCCTCCATCCATCCTCCCAGTCTCAGAGCTTTAAGAAATTGAAGTCCTTCCTGCATAGGGCCGACGTTTTCTATGTATCCCATCCCCTCCATCTTTCCCACTTCCTTTGGGAACATGCTACCTCATATTTTTCTGCTTTCATTATTTCTGCTATTATTTCTACCTTTCCCGTTGATTATTGGCTCCTTCTCTTCATTCCTTCCCCCAGCGCAGGTACGCCACAGGTAGCTCTGTAAAGAAAGGTGCTGCTGCTTCTGACATGGCCTATTCCAGTATACATTACCTCCATTCACTAGCTTTCCCTTCAGCCTTCAACTCCCCACCCTTAAAACGACCTGCTTCCAACCCTGCGTTTCCCCTCGCTGCCATCCTACCCCCTCCTTCCTCCCACCCAAAATTCTGTGCAGAGGAAGACCTGTGCTCGCTCTCGTCACATTCATTCCTCAACTGATTGCAGTTAGCCCTGCAGTGCTTTGATAAAGTCACCTAAAGTCTTGGCTTTCTCAAGTTAAAGGATTCTTTTTATGTCTTTATATTGGATTTATTGCTTTGATTTCCCTTTGGATCCCACCACTTTCCTGACCTTCTATCCTCCTAGCTTCTGTCCCATGACACGGTATTGGGTCCCTTCGTATCATTTCACTGTCCCCGCTAGGGTTTTGGCTTTCTCTGTCGCCCACCGTCTAAAAGCTGCCCTTCCCGGCTTTTGTCCTCACTTCTCTTCTCTGAGGGCTTTGGCCACCACTTAAATGCTCAGACTTACAAATCTGAATTTCCTACTCAGATCTGCTGTTCACAGTTCAGGGCCATATATTCAATTGCCTCCTGGACACCTTCACTCAACCTTGAGAAAAACATGATTAAAAAAATGAACATATATCTTATGCCCTATACCTGATTCTCCTTCAGTATTTTGTACATAAACTGTACTACAAATCACCCAGTCAAACTATAAGCTTCGGGGGTCATCCTCACCAACTTTCATGAAATTAATCATCATACATTGTCTTTCTTCACTACTTCTCCACTTTGTTCTAACTCTCTCTGCCTAAGTTCCCACTGTCATTCTCTTTCACTTGGACCACAGTAATCCTCTCCTCACGGCTCTCCCTGACCCTCGAATCCACCTTCCATACTCCCCAAGGGTGACCACATTATGCCCTGGCTTCACTGTGTTTCCATCAACAGCGGGATAAAATCTGAACCTTTAACACAGTATACAGGCCTTCTGTAATCTTGACCTCTCAAAGACACATCTTTTGCTATTCTTTGCTTGATATTTTAAGCTCTAGTCATATCGATCCCATTACTGACTCAAAATACACCATACTATTTTTAACCTCAAGTCCATTTTCATGCCATTTTCTCCTCCTGAGACTCCCTTCCTCTCCTCTCTTCTCCCTAACTCCCTCTGACCTCCCTGACTCTAAAAGTTTAGTCAGGGATCCCTTTCTATGCTGCCAAGCACCTGGTATATATTTATCATTGCACTCACCAAATACCCTGACATTCTCTGTTTACAATGTCTCTTTCCCCAGCATAATTATAAACCCTCAAGGGCAAAGATCAGTACTATTATTTCTTTGACTCCTCAGTGCCTAAAACAGTTCCTGGTATACAGTAGGCACTTCTCTGATTTTTACTGAATGCAATAATAACAGAAGCAAACATGTGTATAGGACTTTAGGTTTTCAGAGCTCCTTCCAACACTATCTCCTTTAGTTTTCATGGCAACCTTTCTTGGCTATTCAAAATGCATATTTTATTTCAGTTCATACCATGTGGAAATAAACAATAGCTTTAGTTGAGAACTACCTGAGAAACACAACCTAGAAAGATGTTATCAGAACACAGCCCATCTTTATTTTAATAAGAAACTATGGTTCTCAACCAAATATAGTTCATGAGTCAAAAAAACAAAACAAAACAAAACAAAAACAAAAACATGAGATGTTTTTTAAAATCCCCATTCACCATTCACCATGCAAGTTCAGTTTACTCCAGTGTTTCTGAGCTCTAAAACAGTGACTCACAGTCATTTCCCTGTGCTGTTGTTGCTAACTGAACATTTTGCCTACTTATTTCTCCAAACTTTTAATAAGAGCTCTTATTCCTTTTTAGTTAAAAATTTTCTAGTCCATATGGAGTCCCCAGTTCTCATTTTGTATTTTAACCTGATTTTTTTAACTTTTAGATTGCAGATGAATTCAGAAATTGGATTTGTATGTAAAAGTATTAAATTGAAATGCTGTTTAAGACTTCTTTTACCCAGTAGAATAGAATAAAATAGTTATCAAATGTTATGTTTGCTCTTGAAGCAAATTTAGTTAAGTTATAATACCTGTGGCCCATAACCAATACCACTTAATGGTTTTTCCTTAAGACAAATAGATTTACCTCTTGACCTAGAGGAAAAGAAGCCTTCTGGCAACAAACAAGCTCATGATTTAAGTGCGGTTCGGAATTTTAATAATGGTTTGTTCAATATTTGAATTCACTTCCTTAAAGATAAGGGAAAGCAAATTAGATTATTTGGTTACTGTTTCCCTACTATAGGAAACAAAACCATCTGCATAAGATATGAATACATTCACATTCTGTTTCCATTTCTAAGTGACTGCTCTACCGAAGAAACAGTTGTTCTTTGATAGATAGCAAAGAGAGAACTCAAGATTCTTGTCCTAATCTTTATTAGCTGCTACACGATCCTGAAGGACAATATTCCTTTGCTTTACTTTACAAAAGCCATGAAAATTAGAACCTGCCCATTAACAGAAAGACAACAGATTGGGCCTAAAAAACTCAGACTGTTGTCTGATGATTATTGTCCTATTAAAAAAGCTATTAATTTCAGCAGTGATACTAGAATTCCTGAGGCTTTTTTTTTAAGCATGCAAACATGAAGACCAGACTTACAAATGCCAGACAAGAGATTGTTGCAAAGGCTAGCAGATTTCTTGAATTTATAAAAATAAGAGTAAACACTTAAGTGTCACTTACTGTGTCAGACACTCTTTTAAGCTTTACAGGTAGTAATCATTTTGTCCTTCCTACCATGCTGGGAGCCTAAGATCAGAACCCATAGGACATGCTCTCACCTCTACCCAACATTACCTCTCTCAGGCTCCACTGCCTGGAGTATGATTACTCTGTATTCCATGCAGATGAGTTAATATTAAAGACTCTCTTCACGTTGAAACATTTTAGTGAAGTCACAGATACTTGGCAAGTTAGAGTGGACTAAGGATTCAAGCAATCATTCAGCTTAACCAAGATCTAGCTAAGCGTCCGACACCTAGTTGGTGGCAGATAAGAAACTACAACATAGAACCCTGACCCCTGGATATGCTTCTATTCCGTATTCCTTTTCTTATGTGAAAGGTGAGGCACTCATCTGTGCCGGATTTATTTCCTGATCCCCTACGACATGCCAGGCACCATTTTAGACACTGGAGATACGGTTAGGAACAGAGGAAATAATTACCTTCATGGAAATCATGCTGTGTAATTCACTAAATAAACAAGGATTTACAGAGCACAGATTATGCACCGAGCTCCAATGAAGGGCTGTAGAGGTGGGGCTGGGTGGAATGGGGGAGGGAAGACCACAAGAAACAGTCCCTGATTTCCAAGGCATTACGCAAAAGGGGAAACGTGAAACACTCATAGGAAAATGCAAAACAGTACAATGAAGAGCCCAGTTACAGGGTAAATGAATTCCAAGGGATTTCAGAGAAGGGGTGATCCAGAGAGCGCGAGGGATCCGGGTGTGTGTCTCACGGAGAAAGCAGAGAGGTAAAGGCGACGGTTGCCTACCATGAGTATGCAGCAGCCAGCTTTAGAGACGGGGGTGGACTTTAAAGGCATAAGCCTGAGTGAAAAAAGTAAGAGATACACGAAATTTAATATGTCATTTGTGTTAAGCCAAATACCTGTACTCATAATTACTTGGTAAAGGTGTATGCAATTAAAAAAGATGCATATAAAACATAATAGAATGCCCGCGCACGCAGAGGGGAAAAGGGATACGAATAAATATAATAAATTTATTAATTAACTTAAAAATAAGAGCAGGGCCCTCACAGACCAATGATGAAATTGTGTCATGATTTCAACTCTTGGCCATCAATTCCAAGGAAAAAACTCACGGTGGCCTGGGATAGACACAGTAGAGCTTCTTAGGATGTATAGACCATGTTCAGGCAGACAGAAGAGAGGAAAAAGGTAATATGGGTGGGGGGACAGTATGAGAGGGAAGAGACAATTATGCCTGGAAGGGAAGGTGCATGTGGAGGGGGTGGAGGAAATATGGGCAGATATGTGGCTTGGGTTTCTTAGGGGAACCCTCAGAAGTTAGGCAGAAGCCTCAGAGCTGATGGTAAAACACATAAGCAGGTGAGTGATGCAGAGACGGAAGACTAAGGAAGGGGAGCCTGCCAGCAGCCTCGGGAAGAAGGACCCAGATGCTGAAGCACCTAGGAATTCAAACTGGGGAATTTCAAATGTATGTGGAATCTTAAAAAAAGAAAAGAAGACCAAGAGGACACTAATGAACTCATCCACAAAACAGAAAGAGACTTGCAGACATAGTAAACAATCTTATGGTTACTGGGGAAAGGGGGTGGGAAGGGATAAATTTGGGAGTTTGAGATTTGCAAATGATAACCACTATATATAAAAATAGATAAAAAACAAATTTCTTCTGTATAGCACAGGCAACTATATTCAGTATCTTGTAATAACCTTTAACGAGAAAGAATATGAAAACAAATATATGTATATATACATGCATGACTGGGACATTGTGCTGTGCACCTGAGATTGACCCATTGTAACCGACTATATACTTCAATTAAAAAAAAAATATGTGTGGATGAGGACAGAATGACTGGTGTCCAGGGGAAAGAAAGAAAGGTAAAGAAGGGACACATACTGAGAAGACCACAAAAATGCCTCAGGGAGGTACTAGCTGGGTTCTTTGTGCAGGACATTTTTGAGAGTTCGCTTCAGAGTAGTCGTGGTTCCTGAAAACAGTTAAGTGGGTCACTTGCTAAGCTTTCCTTAGTGGTAGATTAATTAGCCAGCTGTAACTCCCGGATCTCTATTTTTAAATAACGACTTGCATAAATCTCTGAAGACAAGAACTTGCCACCAGTATACAGCACATTCCGGCAGCTGCAAGTTATTATGCCCAGTGGAAATTAAATATCTTTTAGGGAAATCAGGCAAGATCTCATGACAAATATGAAATTAACCCCTGCCACCTCTCTGCCCGACTCATTTCTTCGCTTGCCTGCCATCCTAATAAGGAGAGTCTCTGGGGTCCTGAAATGACAGCAGAATTGGCGATATTTTAAAAAGGCATTATTCATCTACGAGCATTAGTGAAAGATAGAGCCTTTGTCCTTGGCTGAGCTGGAAGCTCTGGAAATCAAATGTTGATAAAAATACACAAGAGGCTCCTACTAAAAAACTATTAACCCGTGGTCAGACAGAAATACTTATAACTCCAGGGATGTAAAGAAATAAGCAAACAAACAAGCCATTTTATTTATCGTTTTAAGCATCTGGTTTTCTCTGCTTAACCACCTCAAGTTCCCACTTTTTGTTCCTTCTGACCAAATGTGTCCTCATCTGCTTACTATACTTCTTTATTGACCAGCTGCAGGTTGCAGACGACATGTGACTTTTTACTTTCCCCCTTTCACTCCCTATTTTGCACAGTAGGTTTGGGTTCTCACAGTTTGTGGGAGATACTAAACACTGCGTCCTCAGGCAGAGAGAAAATGGAAGAAAGAAAGAACGACAAGAGCTGGCTGTAAGTAATGCCAACAAAGCTGCATTTGGAAGGGTCCTGAAGTCTGGAGCTTTACTGGGTATTCAGGTGCTACTTGTAAATGGGTGTTTAATAAAATGACACTCAGTACTCCCGCCATCATCACCAAGTGAGGGACTTTGTTTGGCCATTTTCAATAAAAGACAGAAGTCAGGCATGGTTTTGGCAGGAAATCCATCCCTGGGTGGGTGAAAAGGGAATCCTCAGGTTTCCCAAGTTATTGTAAAGACTCCATAACAAATCTCTGATTTCCCACATGAGCACCGACCATCCAGAATCCAGGAGAATAAAAAGAAGTAAGGCCTGCATATAGATGGCATACTGTCAGGTCAGAGGCGGGTGAAGCAGAGGGTATCAGTAAGGATCTGAAAAGAGACAGAGGTGATGGTCATCACAGCACCCCCGCTTGGGAGGCCCACCACTCAAGCCCTCTGCTGTGCAGTTGGGATCTGCTGCTCCCTCCTCGGACCCCGCCTTGATCCTCCTGCCTCCCCTTAATTTTCCCCTCACTCCAGGATGTCTCTGACTCCCACAGGGAAGGCTGCAAACCCCATCGCTGCCAGGCAGCACTGTTTTCCTTCTATCTGAGTCCAGACATGGCTGCTGGCTTTCACCTTGACCTCTGACCTCCTTTGTCAGGAAGTTAACATGGTTCCTGCCTCCAGCTAAGGGTTTCCAACATTGCTGAATGGGAGTCTATCTTATCAATTATGTGAACTTCAGACTTCGGCATAAAGGTCATTATTGTGTTATGCACCTGGAATCACATTGTAATGAGGCAAATCACATTCTCTTACAGTCAATGAGGGGGAAAACAGCACACAAAATGGAAATTACTCCTAAAATGACCTTGCTGGATTTCTACATCTGGCTAGCAGAGTCTGTCTCCATACATCAAGGAACTGACGTGGCAGCTTTGTCATACAACCAGGCACCCCGATCCCATGTTAGCAAACATGCTCTTGTGGAACATATGGCATAAGCCCATTAATTGTGTGCACAGTTGATGAATTCCCAGCAGAGCACCCATGATGTTTACCGATTCACTGCCACCCTGCCCCAGGCTGCTTCCAAACATGTCAGAAAAATAAAATGTCATCCATATTTGTATTCAGAAATCATTCCATATTTATGCATGCTAATAAAAACAAAAGCTTGCTTTCTGAGGAAGGGGCAAGCTCCATAATCCATTTTCTGAGAGGGCCACATGTCTGACACGTTCTGCAGACATTGCATTCACTGCAATAGCAGCTTGAAAAACGCAGGTAGGCCGGCTCTGTGGCTTCTCACCCCTTCCTATGCCGAAAGCAGCTGAGAGCAGACAGCTATCCGGGACTGCTGAGAGAAACTGCTCTCTTCTTCTACTTAAACAACTTGCCTTAGATTGTTTCTTAGTGATTGAACAAATATTTAATGAACCAGTGGATGAAACAGCTATGCGAAGAGCTGTGACTTCATGGTGCCCTAAAACTTCTCAGCTCCTTTCATCAATAATCAGCTCCCTCTCCAATTCCTCAGCCTTGTTCTGTTTCCTGGAATATAGCATTTGAGTTCAATAAATAGGGCATGAAGTTCTGGCTCGGAAAATCACCGGTGATGTGATTTTCATGAACAAATCACTTAAATTCTCTGAGCCTCAATTTCCTTATCCATAAAATGGGGGAATTACAGCTTTTGTCTTGTAAGGATTCTCTAAGCTGCAAGAGACAAGCCCAATTCAAACTACTTTAGGAGAAACACAAAGAATAAGTGTATTGGCTCTTGTGGCTGGGAGGGATATTGAGATATCTGACCAAATCAAAGGATGGGGACCTGGGCCTCAGATGGATCAAGACAAAGCCACCAGACTCACTCCCTCCTCTAACTCTCAGCTCAGCTCAGCTCTGCTTGGCTTCATTCTCTCCTGTTGCAGCCATATCGCCTCAACTTGGCAATGAACTCCGTCACTTTTAAGTCTAATTTCACATTCTTTTAGCATCATGAACCTGGAGGCAAAATTGTTTATTCTTCACTTTCAAATCAATTCGTTCTCTAGTATGCCACGGGAGGCCTGAGATCGGCCCTGCTGGTTCCCATGTTTACCTTAGGATGAGAAGTCCAATTGACCAGGCACGGTGTCGTGCCTGCCCCTGTACGTAGGGTGAAGGGATGCTAGAGTGAATTACCAGAAGAAAGGGGATCAAAACCTTGCTGAGCAAATAAAGCAAAAATAAAAGCTGCCACTGACCTAACCCGGCTCACCAGGTGGTTGTAAGCATTTAGGCACACGGCAAATGCTGAACAACTGTCAGTTAATATTATATATAAATGGGCTTTGTAAACTGCCAACTGTCATTACATGAGTCCTAGCAAAAGAACTACCAATCCTATTTATTATTTATCTATCTGAGGGTGGAACCTCCTTAGGCCAGTATTAATGACAATTATAATGATAATAGTTAACATTTAAGGAGCAATTACTGCACATCAGGAAATGCTTTTCTGAGTACCTTATAAATATCAGCTATGAAATAGGTACTCTCATTGTCCCCAGTTTTTACAGAAATAAACAAAAACAAAGAGAAGTTAAAGCAACTTGCCCAGAGTTACTTAATCAGCAGTGGAATTAGGGTTTGGCCCCAAGGAGTCTGGGCCAGAGTTCACACTCCCAACCACCAGGCCTCACTGTTTCTTGTACTAGGAGTATGGGTATGGGCTGTAGGTTGAAAAGCAACTAATATTTTGCATGGTGTCTTTCCCTTGATGCACTGAAAACTCCATGAGATTGGTAATTG